GTAATGACCCATTTGACAATCATATATTACAATGATATTTTATAGTTATGTAATGATATGATATATTAATAGTTCTTGTTTGATAGCCTTAAATTGAATAAATATAGTAAGAAAGATTTTTTAATCACAACATCCCAGATTGATAGAACAGACAAATTAGGTTTTGCTTTCAAGTACATTATAAAATATATGTTAGATCTTGATTAATTGTTATTACAAATTGTAATGTAATTGATGCCATGGTTAGGTGCAACATCTTCAGATGTGTGAAGCTACCTCACAACAATAACTTGTGAACTTGCAGTTCTTACTTGTGAAATAATTTGTAGAAGTTAGTATAAGTTTTTCTGGGTACTCCAGTTACTCTGTTGGGTGTTAAGCTTAGTTGAAGGTTTGGGCCATTATGTTTCATAATGCCATATTTCAGCTTGAAATGATGCAATAATGTATGTAGTCTCCTGCATCCCATTTCTCTCGGCCAGGAAAGCTGGCCCCATCCACTTTAGCTTAGCCAGGTGGATATGCATATTATGAATGCAAAACAAGGTCATGTGACATGTGCTGTCAAAGTGTTACTTTGGCTATAGTGATACTCTATTTATGTATAACAAGACACGACTACATAGGTCACAATTATATACTCATTTACAAAGTTTAAAATCTTTTTAAATAGTGTATTTTTAAATAATGATGTATGACAGCAAAATATAATTTTTTCTTCTTCTTTAATTCATTTGGTAAGAGATGCAACAACTGGGCATGGATTTATACAGTTATGTAAATGTTTTCTGAGACCTCTCATAGCCTATATCTTAAATAAATACAGAAAAGTGTTACTTTTAAGATGATTTTTCATGGTGTGATATCTGGTGAAAGTACATATCATTAAAAAGGCATTGATTGATATTTGCATAACTTGTGTTATTTTGTCGTAGCATTACACTTGCTGATATACACTTATCAACAACTCCTCGGAGTCAAACTGATGACCAATACCTAAAATAAGAAATCTTGAAAAAAATAACAAACTTTTGTCATATTTCAATATATGTTCTCAGTAATGATTAAAGCAAATTATTTCTATATAATTTTCTAATTGTAGATTATTACTGGAATTCTTACTTGTAGTCTGACAATGTTATGTAAATGTCAGTACTTGTATGCAAATACTGTCAAAACATTTCTGTACCAGATATGGCCATTCAAAGCAAGGACAGGTTAAGGACATTCTTATTGAAAAAAGTACAGGAATCTCAGAGCTGAAAATCCTTCAAGTCATTATTTAGTTTATATCCATTTACTCCTGAATTTTTTCTTGGTTTTTTTTTTATACTTTTTATCAGTTAGGCCTGGTTACCTGCATAAATCTTTATTTTAAGTTAGGATAGTTAACACACATACATATGTATGGAACTGAATACAGGTGTCCTGTGTACTTGCATAAATATCTGTCACAAAACATCATAAATAATCTTGAACACCTGTATAATCATATTCCATGTTATATATCAAAAAGTTTTTTCTTTTATGTCACATGTACCATGTGACCGGTTATGATGAAAAAGAATTCAACAAAAACCAAATTCTGGCCAAAACCCTTTAAGTGTAGTCTGGTATTTTATCATCAGAAACCCACTGGTATTCTCATTAGACTTTTAGCTCACCTGGCCCAAAGGGCCAAGTGAGCAATAGGGATACAGCGTTGTCCATGGTCTGTCAACATCCATTGTCTGGTGGCCATCATCTGTCAACTTTTACTATATATTGCTACTATTCATAAACAACAGAGTGGATTTTAATCAAGTTTGGTCTGATGCATCCTTGGGGAAAGAAACCACTTTTTGTGTAAATGGTGGATCTGGCTCCCGGGGCCCAATAGGGAAAATCAATAAATTTCTTTAAAATCTTTAGTGTTCGTTAGGAATCACAGGATATTGTCCAAATTTGGTCTGAAGAATGCTTGGGTGAAAGGAAATCAGTTTTGTATAAACCTTGGGTCTCAGCCCCCTGGGGCTAGATAGATGGGGCCCAATAGAGAAGATCTATCAATTTCTTTAAAATCTATCTTGTTCTTAAGGAATTGCATGATATTTTCTATATTTGGTCTCAAGTATGCTTAGGTGAAGGAAAATGAGTTTTTTTATAAATGGTGGATCATGGCCCCCAGTAGATTTAGTACATTTTCATATCATTGCTTTGCACTATCAACAATTCAGTGGGATCTTTGGTTTCTTGAAACAGTTGTGATCCCCACTAAATAACTACAGCATTGCTGAGCATCAACAGATAAACAAAATCATAACTTACAATTTGTCCTGGACTCTGGTCTCACCCCAGAACAGATTATATCTTTGAATCTATTGACACTACCATCCCATTACTTAATAGTATTGCTATGAAGAGGTTAACAACTGATTTCTGTCCCCACCCCAAGGGAATTTGAAGCTGTATCTGTAGGGTGAGGCTCATCAGGGGAAATATTTTCCTTCTAAAGAAATGCAAAGTTTTGCATTATTGACTTAAATATCCAGGTGAGTGAAACAGGACCTCTGGGCCTCTTGTTTCCAATCCTCATGATAACAAAGACAGTTTTAAAAAAGTTACTTATAGACATCTGACATGTTCTATAAGGGAACTAAACCTTTTTGTACAATATAATCATCTTGATTTATGTGCATTAGTGATCAAAAAATTATTCTAAATGTATAGAATTATTTGCCTGACACCTATATTACATGCCTGTCTTTCCAGTTGTAAGTGTCCTTTAGGAGCTGGTTTTGAGGTAGAGAAGTTTAATGGGTGTGATTGCCATCTGACAGTCTATATATAGATGTAGATGAGTGTGATATGTGTGATGTACTCCCATTTGTAGCAGCTGCCATATCTACGGGCCAATGCAGGATGCAGTAAACTGAGCTATTTCTAGGGGGTGTGGCAGGGAGGGGGGGATGTGATGTACTCCTACTTGTAGTAGGGGCTGAAGCAGCTAGCTAGCTGAGCTATATAGAGGGATGATGCAAGAACACCACCCCATAGCATAGGACTTGATATCAGCTACCTGATGACAGACAGGTTGTCTCCACACCTTGGATCTTTTTTTAGTTCGTTTCGCTCTTCTAACTATCTATTTGTTCTAGTCCGTTGGAAAAGTACAACTGAAACTTCATTTCCAGATTTACATACACTTATATTCTAGTATTGTATATTTTCTGTGATACATAATAAATAAGTTAGTAAATCATTGCTTAGGATCAGAAATTACAATTAATATTTTTATGCTTCTGGAAGGGAGAGCATATAGTTGCAACTTTGTCCGTCTGTCAAAATTTTGTCCGTAGCATAACATAAAAAAAGAGGTATCAACATGAAATTTCATAGGTAGAAAGATCACAACAAGGAGGTGCATTGCACAAGAACCATCACTCTCTTTTACATGATTTAGGAGTTATTTCACTTTGTTTTTTCCATACTCAAATTTAGTATAGAGCATTACACTAAAATTATAAGAGGTATCAACATAAAACATCATAGGTAGATAAATATCAACAACAAGAAGTGCAATACACAAGAACTATAATTTTGAAGCTTTTGCTCTTTGTTATTTTTCATACTTAAATTTTGTCTTAATCGGGGAGCATAATGCGTCTCTGACTGCCCATGTTATTAGATTGTGCGATACATTAACCTCAACAAACATTTAAACATTTTGATTAAAACTTACTTTGTTTTCAATGAAGTTAGATGAAGGATGTTGGGGAAAAGGTGAGTTCTGCTTCCCATGAAGGAAGACATTTTAGATATTGGTCATCCTAGATCTCCATTATTACACTTCCATGAAACATTTGTTGACTCCTTAACTGAAGTCATTGTATTTATATGTTATCCTTGAAGGAATTTCACTTACAGAATGTAGAAATGCTGTAATAAGGTCTCTGTGAACCTCATTTTGTCAAAGGCCATGATTCAGATGTGTTAATTTACTGACAAGGTTTTCTTTTTTTCTCATTTCATTACAATAGATTTAAGGCTTTGTGAAGTAATTTTCTCGTTGTGGCAATCTGTATCTGCAGTCTACACCTGTTTTGACCACACTTTTCTGTAAAATAGCAAGGTACATCAGCTTGTAGGAAATTGAATGTAAAATGGCAGGTGCTCTTCTGACATATTTTAGATGAGACTTTGTTTTGGTATTGACTTTTAATTTGTAGAGGCTATATGTTTTAATGCAAGTTGGCAAGGTATATGTGATACATTTTTTAACATACTTAGAGATTGAAGTAGTAGATGCTATGATATAACTACAATATATATACACTTCTATAACATTTTTATAGGATAATTTAAAATCACATCATATCAAAACCTCAACAATTCCAGCATTGTCGTAGTTTGGCATTATTATGTGGCTTCATGCAATGAAAACAGATAAAACACCTTTTCATTGGTTAAAGTTAAATGTATCTGCAGAGTGTAAAAAATTGTAAATTGGTACTAGACATTATCTGATATTTCTTAAATAGAATTTTTTTCATGAAAGCTTAATTTTCAACAATAGAAGAAGAACTTTCGATGTTATATAAATCGGACCATATCACGATTTGAAAATAACTTTGACAACTCTTTGTAAGTCATGATGTTATACCCAGGTATATATCATCATGTTGGCAGACTCTTTCTTATACAGTGGGAGACATGTTGCTTGAAATCATGGGACGCTTTATATATGCATTTGTATGTGTATCCATTTGTTCCAATCAGCCCTTCATCATGATTTCTTTTGAAACTCCTGGTATTTTATACTTAAATATAAAAAAAAAGGCCCACACCTTTCATTCATCATTTAAAGAATCTATTTGAGAATAAAAGATGATTGTGCGCTTTACTGAGTATAATTTATTGTGACATTTGAAAGGCAATATGGTAGATCTTTTGTTAATATATAATAGGATTTTGTAAGGTATTATGATACATCAATACACAATGTTTCTTTTGTCCTACAGCTGCCTCCTGCAGATGCTCCACTACAGAAAATTGACTGGCATAACTACAAACAGATTGCTGAAGAGGAAGAACGAAAGGGTGAGTTAAAAGATACAGATTTCTGTAAACATTTTAAACTAAATTTAGATTCTAATTTAGCACTTTCAAATTTTAGGGCATAATCAGTTTTTGCTAAAGATGACAAGTATTCACATCTATAATAATTGCTGTTAATGGTAAGAAACGATATATCCCTAAAACTACATTTAAAGCATGTTCAGATTATAACACATTTTCAGCATGAAAAGCATTACAATAGGATTACTGTGTAGATAGGTACATTCACTGTATAAGACATGTAGAGAGAAAAAAGGAAAGGCACATTTACGTCAATTTTGTAAAAAAAAAAAAAACAGAAAAAATAGTTTCTACACTGTCAGTAAAATGAATCTATGCCTGTGAGTTCCTGACAGTTAGTGCTGAAGTATGTTGTGGAGTAGTGGAGGCTCCCGCACACCCATTAAATAAAGGACCAGACAATTTTACTTCAGGGAAGGACGGTTATGTATATATTTAGGGATTGTCAGCTCTTTACTGTTTAGTGTTTATTTGCCATAGGTCACAAACATGTGAATACCATCAGATGTTATCACCCTGTATAGACATAATCCGTTCTCTGAGCTGGACATGATAAGATAAGCTAATCCCCTGTGGTCTGTAATGCACACAAGTGTTATATGTTAGAGTATATATGGACGACTCTGAAGTAAAATACTGGCAAAGGAAATAACTCTACCAAAATACTTTTTACACAGAGATTAAATTTGTCTTATGAAACATTACTTATTCAGCTGTTACTCATCAATTTATATTCATAAATGTTTTACAAAATATCACATTTCATGTAAAATCTTAACGTTTAGACAGAATTTATATGAATCTAAAGTCACATTTTTAAACAATATTAATTCTAATAATATGCTAATTAGAAGTTTTAATTAGTAAGCTGAGTAAGATATATCTCAAAAGCAGGTGGGAAAAAATGCTGAAGAATTAGAATGAACTTGTCATTAATCTTTTAAAGTTTTACAAGCTATAAAATTCAGACTATGATATAATGCACTTTTATGTAAAGTCATTATATTATAATCTTTGACTTCATGTTATTTATGTCATTTACATAGGCTTCAATTTATTATTCCATATGAAGACATTTCTGCAGATATTGATAAATGTTATAGGTTTAAAACAAGGATTTAAAATGTACACACTACACACATGGTTTGATTTAATTAAATTTTGTCCATCCATCACACTTTGGAATCTGTGTTATGAATTTCCTTACAAGGACAGCAGTTAGGAGGATTCTCATGAAGTATGCAAAGACTCACTGCATATAATCATGTAGTGTGTTACAGTTGCTGGCTGATTCCCTCTCATGTCTTGTGTTGCTTTCTTTAATTTGTTCACTGAAAATAGTTATGCTTGTCTATAAGGTTTGATTATTGTTTGGTGAATATGGTGTGTAATACTGTATTTTGTCGGTTTTAGGTCCAGGTGAACAGGGGCAAGCAGTAATACTGTCGCCAGAGGAAGAGAAGCAGAAAAATGACCTGTACAAGGTCAATGGGTTCAACGCCTTTGCCAGTGATAAGATTTCCTTACAGAGGTCACTCAAGGATATCCGTCATGCTGAGTAAGTCATTGCTACTACTCTCTATTTGAATCTACTCTAAGTATTAATTTTCTACCTTTTTTTCACAAAATGTCAATTATGTCTTATGTTGATCATATATACATTATAAATGTTTGCCCGACAGCTGTCATTGTTTTGCATTAGAAAACCAAAAAAATGGTTTCAATTTTGTATTGATTTGCTGTTAAAACAGCCATCTGAATATTACAAAACTATAAGATGATAGGCATCTTCTTAAACTGATTAAATTGTACATTATGTTTGGCAGGCATACATTGAATTATAGATATAGAAAAAAAAGTAAGAAAGAGTATTCTTTTCTTGTTTTTCCAAAGAACAAAACAATTTTCTGAATGAGGAATCGTCATACCCTCTATGCTGAAATACAGATTTCATTTGAAGCTTTCTAGCTATTGTAAATAATTACTCTTGGGAAAAGCCTAAGACATACATTAAAAAAATAGCATGGTAAGCATTTTAATATTTTAAATGATGACCTTATGAAAATGAATTTGATTAGAAGTGTTTCTGTGTTGTTCATGTCTTGAGTATATGGCCTTGCAGGAGAATACAAAAACATTATGTACCGGAGACAGAGGCCTCCAATTATGTATCCTGGTTATATAATCAAACCTACTTCATAACATGTTGTATTTACCTCACAGCTGTAAAACTAAGAAATACCTGAACCACTTGCCAAATGCCAGTGTGATTGTTCCATTCCACAATGAACATTGGACCACACTACTCCGGCTGTGTTACAGCGTGCTTAACAGAGCTCCCAAAGGTTTAGTTCACGAGATCATCCTAGCTGATGACTACAGTAATAAAGGTATTTTATAGTAATAATCTTGTATAAGTGTGGTCATTTATTGGTCCCCAGCCAGTGAAACTGGTGGGAACTAAATTTTTGATGTCATCCATCTGTCTGTGTTGTCTGCTGTTCAGATGGTTTCTAGATGATAACTTTAGAAAAGGATAACCAATTAGGTTGAAACATAATGCAAATTCCATTTAGTAGGAGACCGACAGTGAGTTTCAATTTCAGTTTAGTAGGAGACCAAGAGTGGAATTATGTTTGGAGTCAAAAGGCCGACCACAAAGGTCACTGTTGCTAAAAATGTATTTTTAGTTTCCAGATACTAACTTGGGTTCAGGATCGCTGATTAGGTGGAAACTTGATACACTATTATGTTAGTATGAGTCCTTCTTTGGGATTATGTTTTAGGTCTAAAGGTCAACCATGAAGGTCACCATTGCTAAAAATCAATTTTTGGTTTCCAGATGATAACTTGACAATGCCTGAAAATAGATCTTTATCACACACATTCGTTTCCATGATAAAACTTTTGCAAAGAATGTACTTCTATCAGTAATCTCTTTCTTTTCTGATCAATACCATTTGATACAATCAACTTAAAGAAATCAATATGTTCATGATATTGGGTTAGTTACTGGTTAAAATTCCTATGTCGTATTCCAATCAAGGTATTTGAAAAGTTACTTCAAAAATGCTAATTATGGCACAAAAAGGAATGTAACACTGTCAGCTTGTTGATAAAATTAATAAATGGATTTAATAAATTTATTACAACATGAACATAAACATCTATGAAATCAAAATTATATTTGATAGGTTTTGTGAAATATAGGAATTTATCAAATTTTCAATGATAAAATCTCATATCATGATATTAGAAATCTTATGTCATTCTTAGTGATGATACAAATGTTGTAGTTTTAACCATTCAGAACTATGTATTCTAGTTTGGACCAGCTTTTTTCTATTTATTTTCCTTTAAAAGTAGTCAAAAGAAAATTTAATGGTTTCTCTTTAAATACCATATACTTTTACTTGTACCACAACATATCTTATACAAATTTTTAAAAAGATGAATTTTTGTTTTGAGATTCAAGTAATCGATGCAAAATAATCTGACATAGAGTATTCCTTCTTTTACAAGAACACTGTGGAAAACCGTTGGATGATTATTTGAAGGAACACTTTGACAATGTGCGTGTGGTGCGTGCGAAGAAGAGGGAGGGACTCATCCGAACACGTCTAATGGGAGCCAAGGCAGCCACAGGGCAGGTCCTTATCTTCCTGGACTCCCATGTAGAGGCTAATATCAACTGGCTTCCTCCATTACTAGGTAATAATTATAGAATGACGTTAGTCAGTCAGTGTGACCAGTTATATGTTTACAGATTCTGTACTGTTAACCACAGGTTTTAATCCACATATTGTCTTCAATGACATTTGCTTAGATTTTTCAAACAAAAATAATTAATTTACAGCCGTTTTGACATTTGTTACCCTAGTCCAAGGGGAACAACTGCTGTTGACTAATCTGTTACATTCTATACTACAGAACCTATTGCTGAGGACTATAAAACAGTTGTCTGTCCTTTTATTGATGTGATCGACTTTGAAACGTTTGCGTACCGTGCCCAGGATGAAGGTGCACGAGGAGCATTTGACTGGGAATTTTTCTACAAACGATTGCCTCTTCTGCCTGAGGATCTCAAACACCCAGCTGAGCCCTTCAAGTATGCAGGAATCTTTGACAAAATATTGCCTTTTTTTTTAACTTAGTGTGTTAATTAGTTATATTTTGTATGCGAATAAAGGTTTATAACAGGATGAAAGTTGATATTCAGATGTAATGCATTTTTGTGAATACTGAAAATTGATTGATTTAACAATCTCTATAAACTGAAAATCAGTGGGCTGTAGCTAGACCATCATCTACAACACACTGTATATGATTTACTGGTCCCATTGATGTTCAGCAGTTTATACAAGTTCAGGCTTTACACGCTTTAATTTATTGGTTACAATTATCACACAAAGTGTGGCTATATAATTATTTTAATGCAACATCAACCAAGTATTGAATAATGACTTAAATAATTGTTCGTTCCTGGCATTCCAATGCTAGTGTGACCACTGGTACATTTCTGTTTAAATTAAGAAAACCTTTCATATTTCATCTATAGTACTAATTCAGGTGCATGTTATTTACAATTTGCAGTAGCCCAGTAATGGCTGGAGGGCTGTTTGCCATTAGTACAAAGTGGTTTTGGGAACTTGGAGGTTATGACCCAGGTCTAGACATCTGGGGAGGTGAACAGTATGAACTGTCATTCAAGGTAAGGTGAACAATTAGGATCTCTCACATCCAGAACAAATGGCTAGTGTGTGAACTTTCATCCAAGTTCAGATGTTCATTGTTGTTAAAAAAATGCCAAAGCTGTGATCTGTCACTAGATAAGGGTCTAGTATTTGGGAAATCTTGAGTTTTTGAGCTACTTTACACGATAAAGCAATGGTTTTGAAATAATTTCAAGGTACACATATAAATGCTTTCATCCTACAGTATAATTGTACACATACAGTACACAGTAGGAAGGTAGATTATAACTTTCTTTACAGTAAGTGAAAACATGGCAGAAAACAGTAGTATGTTGTACAAAACAATGTATTTGATTATACCTCAAACACAAAAAATTTATCAATTGATTGCCTTAATAGTTCTTTGTTGTCTACAGAGATTGTAATTGTCATTTCCTTAATTTCTAGCTGTGGCAGTGTGGTGGTAAAATGGTGGACGCTCCATGCTCAAGAATAGGTCACATTTACAGAAAGTTTGCACCTTTCCCTAACCCTGGTGTGGGAGACTTTGTAGGCAGGGTAAGTCCTGAGCTGCTCATCAGGGATAAATAATGGTGTTTGACATTAATAAAAAGTGTCAGTGTGGCATAATTTCTTTGCTCCCTTTGGTATCTACTGAGTAAGACTGTAGGCACACTAGCAGTCATTATGTAGCCCTTCTTTTGAACATTTACTTTGTTGCCTTAATTGCCAAAGACCACCACTTTGCATAGGTGTGCTTGGCTTTGGTCAAGTATCATTTTATGGAGTTGTGTCCCTTTGTTCACTTTCCCATTTGAAAACATAGATAGGATTTGAGGATGATATATAGTTTGAAATAGATTTGCTAAGCCTTGTTATCATTGGGAGTCAGAAAGTCTGAAGACTAAATATTGTATCATGTGTACATTTGTTAATGTATGGTAAGCACCCCAATGATTTTCTTTCCTAATATACAAAGGTGCTAATTCTATACCATTATTAACTATATAGTTAAATTGATTCAGTCCAAAATAACAAGGATATGATTTTTTTTAGAACTATCGACGTGTTGCTGAGGTGTGGATGGATGAATATGCAGAATACCTGTACAATCACCGCCCCCACTACAGAAACATTGATACAGGCGACATATCTGAACAGAAAGCCATCCGTACCAAGCTCAAATGTAAACCGTTCAAATGGTTCATGGAAAAAGTTGCTTTTGATTTACCGAAGTTTTATCCTCCAGTGGAACCTCCTCCATTTGCAAAGGGAGAGGTAAGTATGAAGAGTTAACACACAAAAAGATATATGACTTGTTACTTTGTTGATATATATATATAGTGGTAAGGTTGACTTTTACATGTATAATCTAGCTAGCTTGAAATATATCCCCTGCCTTACACACTGTATGTTACATATTCAGATGTATGTATCATAATATTTTTGAGAATGCATTAGCTTTTATTCAATTCATTTTTTTTTTCAATTGAAGAAGTATTCTCAGTCCTCAAAATGTTGCCATTTTCTCTTTATGCTATCCAATTATGTGTTACTTTGATATCAATATGTGGTTCAGCTTTTTTCAAATTTTGAATTGTTAGTATGTTTAAGGAGTTTGATATGAAATTTATTTACCTTTTAAACCTCATTGTAGAAATAGTTGTGTTCTAGATAACAAAAACAAGTGCACATGTAATGCCAATACATGTGTAATTAATGTATGTTTGTATTCCAATAGATAAGAAATGTGGAGGCCAATCTATGTATAGACACAAGATACAAAGGACAGAATGAGAGATTCCAGCTGGAACCCTGTCTCAAAGACGGCAAGGGAGGGGGAGAACAGGTATATCTGTCATTTAGCTTATTTAGTCAACAAACTTTTAAAGACAAAGTTAATTGAGAAAACTACAAACATTTATCAGTTGCTTTAATAACGCATTTTGAAATTTGATTGTTGCCAAAATCTTCTGCAAAATTTCAAGAATTTTCAAATAAATATCCATATCAGAAAGTAATTTGTGCTAAGCTGTCTGTCGCAATATTTGTTTCTTAAGTCAGATTTCTTGATAATCAGAATAAAATTTGTGAAAAAAATGAAAGAGACACATTTGCGGTAAATACTGCAAAGCTATATATTTTTGTGAGGTTCAAATTTTGTGGTTTTCAAAAGATATCTTTCCATGAGCAGTAGATTTTATGGATAGATAAGTAATCCAGAAATCTACTAGTTCTGATTTAAACAGTTTAAACCAATGTTTGGACATATAACTTCAGGATAACCCAAGATATCAAAGAACATTAATGATTCTACAGTACTTGTAATCTGATCTATAATCTGTTTTTACCAGTTTTATACATTATCACTTTCCTGCATCAACTAGTTCACAAGTGAAAATTATCATCCAATTTTATCATAAAAAAACAAAATTGTGTTTAGGTGGTCAAGTGGCCATGTTAAACAACAAGGGTTTGATTCCCCAGTAAGGTATGTGTAGGTATGTGGGCTCTTGCCCAGCAATGTTGGTATTCCCTGGAGACTAAGGTTTCCTCCCACAGTAAGACACATCCTTACCAGTCAACAAGTATCAATGGTTAAAACACTACGTGGGCTAGTGGATGTACATGGTGTAGTTCTCTCTCTTTGATATATTTTTAGTTATATTTTAAAATTGTTAAAAATTTTCTTTCAATAGTTTTACCAGTTGATTTTAACATTATTTTATCATAAATGTATTTTTCTGCAGGAGTTCCAGTTTTCCTGGCACAAAGATATACGTCCAGGAAGGAGAAGTGTTTGCTTTGATGTTTCACAGTCAATTAAAAAATCCCCTGTCATCCTATTTAATTGTCATGGGATGGGAGGCAATCAAAGATTCAAATATAATATAGTAAGTATTGTCATCAGCTAGACAGGTAATCAGTACTTCTTTCATTTTTTCACATGGACACTATTTTTGAATATTAAGATTCTTGCAGTTACATACTTTTTTCTCAAATTCGTATTAGTAATTTGGTCCATTGCCATATGCACTGAACCCTCAAAAAACATGTTGAAAAGGACAAATATTGTTAATGGCAAATCTAAGCTACAAAGTCCTTGCTATATCTGAATAATTGTATTGTATGATTTCACCTGTATCATGCAACCTTTCCTGTATTGTTTGTTTGTCTGTCGCTATCTTACATTGATTGGAAGTTTTATTAACAAAATTGTTCAAATTTTTCAGGATACTTCACAAATTTACCATGTGATCAGTAATCAGTGTCTGGACTGTGATCCGGGTAGTCATGAACTCTTCACAAATCCTTGTGATAAAAACTTAAAATCACAACAGTGGAAAGTAGAAACTGTAAACGAAACAGCTGTTAGAGCAGAATGGAAGGCAACATAGTGACCAGTCACAATTCTACCTGGTGTGGAGATATTAAGCGTGCCTGATTCAACTGTTCACAGAAGTACAGGGACAATGATAACTTTGTTCACTGTGTCGTAAATGACTTTTATTTTATATTGTGCAGATTTTTCCTTAAAGAGGTTTCGATCCATCATTAAATTCACAAATAACAATGTACAACACTAGCATCTTTACAACATGGTCATTTTACATCAATACAGAGAAGTCACTGGTGCTGGTTTGGACAAAACAGACAGTTGAATGTTTTTCTTATTAGAATTTGGTTTTCTTGTCTCTATTTTCTTGGTAAATTTGTAAGAAATAGAATAAGTCTCATTCTCTTAATTTTTTTTTTCTTGCAAATTTTGATTTTATTAATTTGATTTTTTTTTTTTTTTTATTGAAGATATAAGTTCATGTATTATCTGACAGTGGCATATATTGAAATATACCCTTAAATTACATAATACAGGGTGAAAATCTTTGTATTTAAAAAATTTATCCTTTGAAATGACAAACTTGTATATCATATCATACAATATTTATTTTTTCAATTTCGCTTCTTTTCCCTGTATGCATTATTATGCAGTAAATACATTTTTTATGGGTGTTGATTTGCCTCTTGTCCAGTTGTCATTGTATGTTGTGTAGTGTAGCACACTGGACATACAACATGATGTTTGGAGAATATTTATTTTTATGCACAAGTTCTTCTGTCTTAATTGTTTTAAAGGTCAATATAGATGTACTTTATGATCTTATGTAAAATTTGTATTTTTTTTAAACATTTGTGGTGTTTTAGAATATGTTCACAAATCGTATTGTACTTAATTGAAAAGTTCATGCTTTACATATTTTTATGCTTTCCAGATCTTAAAAAACAATGTTGCTTATTTATTACAACTTAAAAGTTGCCTAGTGTTCACTAGAAATGTTTTTTGTCCAGAGTTTTATCAGATAGTCCCACTTATTGTTAAAATGCATTTTCTGCCCATTCTATTTATCTCTTATATGAAACTATGTAATTCAGATTATTTCTAAAAATGGCCTTTCTTGTAAATATATAATTTGTATTTCAATATGATACTGTCAGTCATATTTGCATTTAGTAAGTATAACACACTTAATGATACATACTTAATGGACTCTGTACATAGTGTACATGATGTGTTCCTAGATCAGTAGATATTCTGTTCGTCACTGGTATAAGTTCTAATAATATTTAATCCTAAAATTGAAAAAAAAATCTCTGTGTGCCCAGGTTTAAATTGTTATTTACAAATCCTGTATCATAAATATCTGTATGGATTTTTTTAAAAAGAATTTGGTGTATACATATAATGATGAATACATTTAGTATCAAATGACATAATTGAGTGAATTAATGATAAGTTCTTTACTACCAGTTAGGTTTGTTCTGTCTGTAGAATTAAAGTGTAAGGATGGTCTTGATAACTCACATCTCTAGAACCTTTTGTAATAAGCTTTATTAGCCAGGTATGACAATTCTTAATACACATTGATTATGTTAAATCTTGCTCAAATTGATTATTATAAAGATTTAGTCAGTGTTAAAAACCTGCATTATTTCCTTATTTGAAATTTGAAGGGTCCATAATGTTTTTCTGGTGTCCATTGTAGTCTCAGGACATCCATATTTTATTGAAATATAATTTTGAATTTGATATTACTTTTAAGTGGAGTTCTAAAAACCCAATTTCTGAGATTCCAGAGAATTAAAAATTGGTGCTGATTTTTTATAAATAAAGTTGGTCTACATTTTCAGAAAACGTTAATGCCCCCAAAACCACTTTTATTTAATTAAATTTTGAGACTTTTTATTTCATTTTTGTTACTTTCTATGATCAAGTATCCTAACTGTTCTCATAATCATGTAAATAATGGAATTTCTGGCAAATATTTCATGTACGTTGTTTAACTTTTTGAATTTCCTTTACTAAATATTTTCCATATGAGAATATTAAAGGAAATGAAGGACAGTTCTTTCTTTAATATCTAACTTTTGCTTACCTTCAATAAGGCTTTTTTGTAGACGAACATAAGTCATGGTAGATTCTGATGCATTGTTGGTGAACTAAGTAGACATAATGATATTTCTAAAATATTTGGTTTTCTGTCCTGCGTGATGAAGCTATTGGATATTCAGCGAACAAAAACTAAAAATTATATGAGTTGTTTCCTCTAAAAATAAAAAAGATAACATATTTATTTTTTGTCTGAAAAAAATGTGATTTCCATTAGATTTGTTAGAATTTATTTCAAGCCTACAGATTTCTGAAATATTTACCAAAATATTGTACAATACAAAGGAGCTAACTCCCTGTAGTTTAGAAGAGAGGCATTAGTTATAGTTGGCTCCAGCTTTAACTCTCCCAGTATTTAGCAGTTTGCTACCAAAGATAAAAAGATTTACAAGCTCATCAAGAAAAAATACAAGGGAGTTAACTACCTGTAGTTTAGAAGAGAGGAGATAGTTAAATTTGGCTCCAGCTTTAACTCTCCCAGTATTTAGCAGTTTGCTACCAAAGATAAAATCATTTACGAGCCCATCGAGAAAATATACAAGGGAGCTAACTCCCTGTGGTTTAGCCCATCAAGTAAACATAGTTTTCTGAATTACTAGATAAATAATAAAATCAACAGCAGTTAGTAAAAACAATTAAATACAAAATCATGTGCACAAAATAAGTCACATCTGTAAATATTTACATAAACACATGTTATCATATGTATATTTAGCAAGCAGTATTTTATAAATTCATATTGATTACCTCCTTCAAATTTTGATATTCTCTTAAGTTGTAAGAGATGAAGACAGTAGACAATGTGACCTCAAACCTTTATTAAAAACACATTCTAGGTGAAACATCCATGTTAAATGTCCTCATACAGTTATGGGGAATCCAGATAAGACACAATATTGCTGTTTTGGCATATCAGTATGATACAAATTGTAATTGTCACAAGCTTAAAAAAAATCTACCAGTTTCATACGTTGTACTTGGTATCTATATGCTTTGATAGTGTGGTATAATTATTCAGCGTTTATTTTTAATGGTGAAGCCCAAATAATGCAGTTAATTGTTATGATGAGTACAATGAGAAAACACATTTATGATGTACCAGAGAGAAGAGATGCCGAGAAGCTGTTCATTTATTTGTTGTATTGTGTTGTAATCCTTTCTTATCTAAATATATCAGCTGGTATTTGTTTAAAGGAAGAATTCTCTTTAAGATTGCATTGCATCACAATTAAAAATCAAACCTGTCCATAACGGTCATTCAAGGTAGCAGAGAAACTGGAAAGCAGGTTGGACAGTGTATGAGAAAAGTTTGATTTCATTTTGTAACATTGATCAATCACTATTCATAGGCCATTGTTTTATCTCATGGGTATCTGATTATATCTGAAGTAGTGATGACGAAAGCTCCAATAAATCATGTCAGCTTGTTGTAGTTCATAATCTTTAATACTGAATCTCTTAGAAATCCAAAATTTGTAATCAATATAACAGATTTAAATTTATTTCATAAAGTATGGTTAATGCTTGGAGCGATGATAACACATCAACACCTTACACTCGTCTCAATTTTATTTTTTCTATCCTTTTTGCAAACTAAATTGTTCTTGAAACAAACTGTAAATAAGAAAAATCTATTCTGTATGTATTACAAAAGTAACTTTGAAAAAACCTGTGTTATTTAATTTTCATATTCTCATCTCTCTACCCTATGTTGATTGCAAAAATTGTGAAATGCATGAATGTGTAGGTGATATGCATTGAAAATGATCACTGCTGTCATGTGTTGGATCTAGTCGTTTCAGGTGTTGCAATCATAGTACTTTCCTGGATGCGGTTGAAATATTTTCATAAAAAACAATTTGTGTTATGACTGTAGTCCGAGGTTCCTAAAAACATGTTTTACAACTATCTTCATCATGTATATCAATTACATGATATAAGTTTTAATAAAGAAAATCAGATTTCCCCCTTACGTTAGAAATATTGTGTCCCATGTTATCATCTGGCCTACATGTTAATCAATAGTGTATCAAATTCAACACTGGGACTTAAGTTCATAAAAGTAAGCATTCATAGGTTAAAGAGATGTAATTTGTAGATATATTACCTGTGTGTGCTTGTTACAAACGTGAATGTGATATTTTTGAATGAGGTATGTAGGTTGTGTGTTTAAGACTGTGTGTATGGCTACATATTATTGTATATACGCAATGTATACTTTGTGATACTTACATTCCAGAGGGTTTATTTTCTAGGTATTTCCATGACATGGACATCTGAAGAGATTGTCATTCAGATGGGTCTGATGATGCAGTGTTTTAATATAAGGATTGACTTCACTACATACACAGTTTTCATAGGATATAAAATTGTGTGTATAGAGAAAAACACAATCACAACGAATCATCCAATTCCTTGTTTATGTTTGTTTTTCTTCAGTTGTATTCTTCTATTTGTCAATTGGTTAAGTCATGATGAAAAGTAGGAAATGAAGACAGAAATATTTAGAACACTTCAACAATCCCAAAAAATATATTTATGTGTACTTATAGAGAATTTATGTACAAGCTTATGTGTTAATAATCAGCTTACCTTATTTAGTATGTATTCTCGATTGTTAGCCAAATCATGTCCTGATAAGAAATTTTGATTACCATATTTTCATATGAGTTATTTTGGCATATCTTAATGAAAATTTACAGCTTTGAACTAACACCCCTTGCATACTTCCTCTTAAGCAATGGAGAATTTAAGGTAATAATTTTGTTTCAAATTAGAAGTGTGATGAAAATGTCCATGACATTTACTATACTTATAGCTTGTTAAGTAGAATTGTTGATGTCATTTGAATTAGAAAAATACAAGAACTTGTTTCTCATTTTTCTATGCATTTTGTTTTTCCAAATTGAATAGAAAATCAAGACATTGGCAGAAGCAGCTGGCTCAGCTTACAGGAAATTTGCAATTAAAATTGCCATAGCTCAAAAACTTTAAATGGCATATTTAATTTTGAGTAAAACCAGTTTTCTCCTGTGTACAACCTGTTTTTCTGTGTACAACCTGTTTCTCCTGTGTACAACCAGTTTTCTCCTGTGTACAACCTGTTTTCTCCTGTGTACAACCAGTTTTCTCCTGTGTACAACCTGTTTTCTCCTGTGTACAACCTGTTTCTCCTGTGTACAACCTGTTTTCTCCTGTGTACAACCTGTTTTCTCCTGTGTACAACCCGTTTCTCCTGTGTACAG